GCTTGCAATGCTCTGGACTTGATCAACAGGCTTGATCCTTGGTTCTGTATGCAATAGCACTTGCTCAAATGCCTTGGATCTTGCAATCACAATCTTCTTGCACTTTGGATGATGAAGTTGGATAGCACGAATTCTACTTCAATTAAGCCAAATCTTGATGAAAACTTGATCTATGATGGATGTAGATGATGATAGGATCAAGAATTGTAGAGAATGATGGAGATTTGATGGAGTTCTTCTATGATTTGCAAAATGGAAGAATGAGATGAAACTTGGTGTTTTGATCAAAATGAAATGCCAATCCTTGAATGAAGCCACTCTACTCAATATATAGATGAAATTAGAAAGCTCTAGAACTTGGTAGAAACTTCTTGTGCACAATTCCCTTGAATTTTGGATATGTTACTTCTTTTGTAAGCCAACTAGCATAACTTCCAAACTTTGAACCAAACTCAAAAATCCACTTTTGCCAATGTTCTTAAAACATTTTTTTCAATCAAAATGACCTATAATTTCATCCCATTTGGCCATGTTATGAAAAATCTCAATTTTAGGTCACTTTTATTCATAAAATTCACTTTTTAAATGACCAAATTTGAAACCTTGAGCTATGAGCCTTTCCAAACTTTCATTATCACTTTTCTAGACTCAACATGTCATTTGGAGCAAGTTTGATGTTGTGAAGTTTTTCATTTGAAGCTTCCTTGTATGAGTTTTGGGCATAGGATTGAAATGACCTGTAATTCTCAAATGACCAAAATACCCTTTGCTTGCCAAGGCCATAAGTAGAGTTCCACAAATCAGATGAAGGCATACCATACCTTTCTAGAAATCTAAGACAATGAGGAACAACTCTTATGTTTACCAGAAATTCATTTGAAATCTCCTTGAGGGGTAAAAGTTGCTTGGAAGACAAGTAACTTTCACAGACAAAATTTCAGATACCTCAGATGACCTGTAACTTGCAAGGACCATAACTTGAGTTCTATAAATCTCTTTGATGTCTTCCACCACTCAAATTAAAGGTCTTGAGATCCTCTACAAGTTTCATGTTGGCGAAGGATCCATTTGAAGCTTGCATTTTGACTTATCTTACTTGGAAGTTTGACCTAAATTAGGGGATTTTACACAGAAACCCTAATTTAGAAACTCCTCTTCTTCTTGATTTCTCTTGATTTCTTCTTGTCACAACACCATATCCTTATCTACATGTCAAATGATGAACCCTACATCTCTCAAATAGACCTTGATGCCCTTCATTCAATCATTTGACCTAGGGTTGACCTAGGGTTGACCCAGATGAAACCCTAGTTGACTGTCTTCAACTGCAACTTTTGTGATCACATCAATGACTTGTCTCACTTTCAGAATGGCTCTCCATGTCTTCCATGATGTCTATATACCCTTCATGCTCAATTCACAGCTCACAACTTCTTTGATGATCTTCAGATACCCTCAGATAGGAGATAGATTCACTGCTTGATCCACTGACTTCTTAGATTTCAATTTCTTTCTGATGACTTGGATATGCTTGAATTTGAATAATAACCTCTTGATATGCCCATAGGGATAAGAATTGCCTTTGGTCCCTTGTTGGATAACTTGCTATGCTATGCTATGCAGATGATTAGACTATGTACATGACTCTATATGCAAATGCTAATGTAATTGAAACATAAACCAAGTGAAATAGGTTGAGCAAATTTTAGGGTGCAACACCTATCACCCTGAAACGGGCGGTCAAACAGAAGTGGTTAACAGATGTATCGAAACCTATCTAAGGTGTTTTACAAGCGACCATCCTAAACAATGGTTCAAATATTTACACTTAGCTGAGTTTTGGCATAACTCAACTTACCATAGTGCGATCATGATGACGCCCTTTGAAGCTCTATATGGTCGTCCACCTCCTTCTTTACTGCAATACAATCCAAGATCGTCCACTCTCGCTACAGTAGATGCATCACTACAACAAAGAGATGAAATACTCATAGTTCTGAAGCAAAACTTAGACAAAAGCAGGAAAAACATGCAAAAAGAAGCAAACAGAAATAGACAAGATATCACCTTTTCAGAAGGTGACCTCGTGCTTTTGAAACTCCAACCATATTGTCAAGTGTCAGTGGAACGTCGTCCCTCTCATAAGCTGTCCAAACGATTTTTTGGACCTTTCAAGGTGCTACGACAGATCGGACAGGTGGCATATCTACTTGATCTTCCTGAGTCCTTCAAAATACACCCGGTTTTTCACATCTCACGGCTTCGCTTGTTCCATGGTTCAGATCCAGCTTCTCATTTTGTTCTGCTTCATATGAACTTAAGCAAGACATTAACCAAGACCAGGACCCAGAACAACAACACGCCACGCCCTTTCATGTCCAAAACGAAGTTCAGGACCAGGAGATCATATTTGACAAAGTTTCATAGGGGTCAAACGTTGAAGGTGTTCCCAATTTTGAAGAAAGGAAAACACAGTTTGTTGTTTCTAAGTGCCTTGAGACACAAAAAAAAAGAAGGGCAGATGAAAAGGTTAAAATGTTGGAGAAAGAAGAAAGGAAATATAAGGAAGAGCGGTGGACGAAAACTTTGAAGGGTGGGAGAAAATGAAGAGAAAGGATTCTGAGTTTCCCAAAACAATTGTGAGTAATGAATCTGCAGCACAAAGCCTTTTCCAAAAGCACTTAGCCGTTGGTGAAACTGACCTCGAGACACACACTTCTGCCGTTTCACATGGCTCTTTCGCGTATCCCCACATCTCCCCACCTAACCCTTCCACGATGCTGCCACATGTCCCGCATGCAACATGCCAGCCGAATGGAAGCACTCTTCCATCTTTTGCTCCTTCACGTGTTTCCAAATGGACTACAGCTAAAGAACTTTGGAAACCAAACTCCTTTACTCCTGCTGATCCACGTGTCCCCATTGGGCCTGCGGGTTGTAATGTCAATTCTCCCTTCATTGGGCCTGAACTTTCAGAATTAAACCAACCCAATCCTTTTATTCCACAAGTTGTTTCCTCTACATCTAACCTTGAGGACAAGGTTGCTAATGGGTAGGATAGTAGTGATAAGAGGCCCATTCGTATTAGAGTCCAACCTAAATGGATGCAAGACTTTATTTTTAAATAATGTTTATTTTATTTAATTTAATGTTGTTAGTACTATTTTATGGATGGGCTGATCCATTAACCCATTTTAATTAGGGTTACCCTTATATTTAAAGACTTGTGTTTGTTGAGATGAGGAGAAGAAATTAATTCACAAGTTATATTTTTCTTCCTTTAGCTTCTTTTATGTGTGTTCTTAGTGAAATCCTAGATCTAAGAAAATATTATAGAACTATTCTTATCAGCTTCCACCTCGAGTTAGAGAAAAACCCTCCAACAAAGCCGCTAATTTGTCTAAATCAGTAGCAGTCGAAGAACACAGATTTGATCGAAGAGGACTTAAATTCCACTCCCAATTCTGTCCTACCCAACGTCCCATATATGTGATAACTACAAGCTTACTCTCCAAAGTATCAAATAACACGGGTAAAATATTCTTAAGCGGCATGTTGCCCAACTATGTTGCCAGTTAAAATGGGATAACTGAGTCATCCCCCAACCTGCAGGAAACCATAACAGACAGAGCATTATTATTACCAGCATCATTAAGTTTCATCAGGTCTTTCCACCAAAGGGATTCCTTGAATCCGTGTTTCTCAGTCTGTTTAGAGAAAAATTTGCAAAGAAAGTTTTCGTATCTGAACCGAATCAACTCACACCATATAGCATTTCTTTCCCTTAGCATATGCCATAACCATTTTATGAGTAATGCTTTGCTGAAAATACTGACATCCTTGATACCCAATCCACCACAATTCTTAGAAAGACACATTGTTTTCCATGACACCCAAGCCACTCCCGACTTTTCCATATTACTTGACCATAGGAATCTACGTTGTATGGATTTAATTAACTAAATAACCTTTAAAAGAGCGTTGTAGAATGCAAGATGGTGCACCGGTAAGTTAACCAAAACGGAGTCAGAGTTACCCTCCAAAGGATAATAATTACTCTTCCAAAATGACAGTCGAGGTTTAAGACACGATAAAAATGGTTTCCAAAAATCAATGCTTCTATTGTTACCACCAACCACCAGGCCAAGAAAAATGAACGGAAAGCAATCTTTCTTACAATATAAGAATTGGGAGGTCGCATTCAAAAAGGATTCCTCCACACCTGTTCCATAAAGTCTACTATTCAAAAAATTAGATTTTAGCCCCGAAACTAACTCAAACCCCCTTAGTATGGATTTCACTCCCCAGAGGTTTTGCCACGATCTGTCGCACACCAAAATCGTATCATCTCCAAATTATAATAAATTGATTGACGAAACATCATTTAAGCTAAAACCACGAAAGAGCCCACCTTCCACCGCCCTTTTAACCAATAATGCAAGGCCTTCGACAACCAAAGCAAACAAGAAAGGAGAAAGTGGGCCTCCCTGCCTCAATCCTCCAGAGGCCTTGAAGTCCTTAGTTGATCTACCATTAACCAACACTGACGCGAAACTAGACATGACACCACCTTTGATCCATTTAATCCACTTTTCTCCAAACCCCATCTCCTCTAGAATCTTGATTAAAATTTTTCAATCAACACAATCGTATGTTTTTGGGAAATCTATTTTGAAAAGAAAATAACTCCTTTTATTTCTCTTCGCAAAATCAATGATTTAGTTTGCTACAACTCCGTCCAAAATTTTCCTCCTCGAAATGAACGCGGTTTGCAAACTAGAAACACGCTTACCTATTATGCTCTTTAGTCGATAAGCTAACAATTTTTATATGATTTTGTATATACATCCAATGAGACATATAGGCCTAAATTCTTCCAACATTTGAGGATTCAAATATTTTGGAATTAAAGCTAAAAAGGAAGAACTCACAGATTTAGGCAATATCGTAGTGCTATGAATCTTCTTGATACAAGTGATAACCTCATTCCCTACTACTTCCTAACAAGTCTTGATGGAGTACAGATTAAACCCATCCGGGCCAGGACTTTTATTTCCTTCACAATCGAATACTGCAAAATGAATCTCTTCAGATGAGAACGGTTCTTCTAGTTGTAAACTTTCTTCAATGGGCAAAGAGATTAAACCTGACAGATCCATTGATGGTCTAACTGAACAACTACTGCTAAACTTGTCAAGAAAATGATCCCTGGCTGCATGTTTAATAGAAAACACATATGTTATGATAGTCGAACCAACCTTCAGAGCAGTGATGGGATTGGATCTAACTCTAGCCTTCAACTGTGAGTGAATATACTTTGTATTGCAATCCCATTCTTTAACCCACTTAGCTCTATACTTTTGTTTAATTAAACTCTCTTTCAAATAGAAATTGTTCCAAACTTCAACTTGGGCCTTCCCTATACTAATCACCTTTTCCTCAGCTACAAAACCATCCTCATCTAGCAAATCTTCCTCCAACTCATTAAGCCTCTCCACACTCAACTCCACTTTCAAATCAACCCAACCAAAAATATTTGTATTCCACCAACGCAACCGATTGCTAAGTGCCTTAAACTTTTCCAAAATGATATGAGAAACGCTTCCTTCCACTTGAATAGAAATCCATTCCTGCTTAACGAAATCCATGAAATTCATATCTTCAAACCAACAACGGAAAGCCTTAAAGGGTTTTGGCCAATGTGAATTCATATGGAGTCTTGTTCCTCTAAACTTGTTTTATGGGCGTTTTTAGAACAGTTTTATGCTTTGCTAAGGTCAAATATAATATCATTCTTTTAGGATATATTCCTAAAATAAAAGTTATAACAATGGAAGTTAATCTAGTTTTACAGAGTTCATTAGTAGTTGGTCTTTTATAAGAGTTTTTGGATGTTGCTGTAGAATGGTGGTCATCCCTCCTTTTTTTTATGACACCAAGGTCTAATTTTTTTTTCTGAATTCTCAAAAATATATTAATAATGGAGGGTGAAAACTCCTAAAAGATTACACAAATAATCAAGGGGCACAAGAAGTGTCAGACCAACAAAATAACTAGTCTAAGTAATGGGTAGATAATTCAAGATCGATTCAGTTAAAATACTATGGGGGTTTAGTTCATTTATGGAGGAAGAACATCTTTCTTCTCATAAGAAACTTGGTTGGGCGGAGTTTTGAGGATGATAAAGAAACCATGAATGGTTTGGTACTATATTTTGGAACAATTAGAATCTTAGTTCCTTGGTTGCTCAATTTACATAAGAGATAAAACTTTTTGAGGTAGACGAATTCTTCTTTGTTTGGCTCTCAAAGGAACTTACCATGGTACAACCTTTTTTCACGTTGATGATCTCTTTCTACATGATTTTTTTTTATCAGAATGCCCTAAAACTTTTATAAAATAAAACTTAAGGTACCTCACTTTAAAGTGTAAGAGGTGGGTTAGGTAAGGCGGCCCTCTCTCACCACTTCTTTTCTGCATTGCAGAAGATGTTCTAAGTAGAGGGCTCACTAATTTAGTTATTAAGGGAAAGATCAACCTTATAAAATTCATTGGAAATGTGAAAGTTCCAATTTATTCCCTTTTTATGATGACATTGTGTTGTTTAGCAACGGTGATGATTCTCCCATCTAAGCCGTCAACCTTCTCTTCAAGGAGTATGCTGATGTTTAAAGCAACACATCAATCCAGCAAAATCAATTATGTACACAGGCTCCCTCCCACCTCAGGAGAATATTTTCTTGGCAAATCTGTATGGGCTGAACTAAGCACCAAAGGCTTGGAACAAAAGAATTTATGGGCTTCTAAGCGAGATAGGATTTCATAAATGTGTATCCAAACATTGTATGTATCTGAAAAAGAATACAAAAAATTGAGTGATCATCCTATGTCTCTACGTTGATGGTTTACTAATTACGGACATAAATAAAGGTTACATTACCGAGTCCAAGGGTGATTTAATGAAGGAGTTTGAGATGAACGAACTTGGTCTCATGACATATTTCCTTGGCATTTAGTTTCACATGTCTGAAAAGGGACTGCTCATGCATCAAAGGAGGTATGCTCTTGAGATTTTGAAGAAGTTCAAATTTTACCATTTTAATGTGGCAATTAATCCTGCAAAGCCAAGATTGCAACTGTCAAAGAAGGAAGACGAGAAATATATTAATCCAACACACTATAGGAGGTTGATTGGATCATTGTGTTACTTGTGCAATACGGGACTGGACTTGGCATTTAAATTTGCTAAGTGAACAGATTTATGGGGAAGCGAAATGCATCATTCTTGGTAGCAGTTAAGAGAACTTGGAGACATGTCAAAGGTTCGATTGGTTGCAGAATTATATTTCCCACAACGAATTAATGTAGAAGCTTTAAATTTCTTGGTTATACTGCCTCAAACAAATATGGAGCTAAAGATGACAAAAAATCCATTTTTTGATACATTTTCATGTATGGTGAAACACCAATATCTTAGTGTCCTAATGAGGAACCATTTGTTGCGCTCCCTTCTTCTGAGGCTCAGTACATTGCAGTGTCTATATGTGCATGTCAAGTTATATGGTTAATGAATTTGATGAAGGGGTTGTATATCGAAGAGTATGAAGTTGTGACATTAATGAAAGATAATATTTTTGTTATCAACATTACCAAAAATCTCATTGCTCATGGGAGAAGAAAGAATATAAAGATGACATTTCACTACTTGAGAAAATTTGTAAGTGAAGGAAAATTGAAGTTGGGGTATTGCAAAAGTGTAGATCGACACTACACTTTTATTGAAAATTAAGATATTAATTAATTTAACTCATAAAGCAAGAATCGTCACTACACTTTTATTTTTCCAAAGGAATGGGGAAAAGAACGAACAAAACCCACAAAATTTTTAAAACAAAACTAATAATAACAGAGACAAGGGTAAAGGGGTTGGTTATGCAATGGGAAGGTGTTAGCACCCAAAACATCTATAGTACTCTATAGGAACCTCTTGAAAATCTATGTTTGACTTAAAAGGTGTTGTTTACGAAAGATTGAAGAGATGAGAAGAGACGTATTTTTTAGACTTTTTGTGTTTGACAAGACTTCCTGAGCCTCGTGCCTACGTACCTATAAAGTGCAATGGAGGATCAAAACCTCGTAGTTCGTGGTAAAAATAACAAAAAGAGTTTTTTGTGATTGATTTTAAATGGAAAAGATAAGTTGTCATTTTAATAAGAAAACTTAACTAGTCACCCACAAGCATATGAAAATGGACATTTGCATCACTATTAAGAAGGGCCCAACTAGGATAGAGATCAACAAGTATGCAACTAGCTCTCTCAAGTGGAAAAGAATCAACATCAAGCATCACTATGGGAATAGGAGAATTGCGTATCATCTATGAAAATGACTCATGTCTAAACCTTAAGAAAAGTTTAAAAGGAAAAGTACACAAAGGGCACAAAATGATTTGAATGGGTTGTGTATTTTTTAAGCCTTATAAAAATCGTCTTGTCATGCTTAAGATGAATTAGCACTTTATTCAAGAAAAAGAGTTTGAAAATCATTTGACAAAGTCAAAGTTTATTAACAAAGTGGTTCAAGTTTTAAAAAAAAAGAAGGTTTTGAAAAAGGGAGAAGATTTTGAAAATTTAAGAAGGGAGAAGAGATGAAGAGATTATCCTAAAGCACAAGTAAAAGCTAAGGAAGGAAAAGTTTAACCAAGAGCAAGCTTTGACACAGGTCAATACTCTCATCCTTTGGATTAAGCAACAAGCTACTAAATAAGAAAAGAAATAACCAAGCATCAGATAAAGAAGAACTTAAGTCAAGTCCAAAGATGAGGTAACAAAGCTAAGTCTTTCAAAAGTCAACTTAATGTCAAGCTTCCAGATGAATTCCAAGGTCTCAAGCCACAACTCCAAAGCATAGGATCAAGAACCTAATTCTAAGTCCATAATTCCATCATCCAAGCAAGGGATAGTAACCAATAGTCCAATGGAAATATTCAGTCTTTTAATGTTTTAGCCTTTATTAATGTCTTAAAAGAGAAAGAAAAAAAGGTCGAAGTGGACAAAGAAAAAAAGCATAAACATAAACAATAACAATATGATATGTAATTATAATAATAAAGCAATATAAAGATAAATAAATATAAATGACATAAAAATAAAGGTGAATAAAAATAAATGTTGGCACAATTATATGGTTAGAACAAGTGTTAGAATTAATAATCCGAATCGGTACAAATTTAGTGCTATGTTAAGCAATCGTAGCACAATCTATAAGAAAGATCATACTATGAGAGGTCGGTCAATAATAATTTATGTACCATACATGTTAGAGATATGATAGAGATCATACTCCAAAAACATGTAGAACAAGTTAAAACCAAGGAGGGATCAAGCACTAAGACAAGGATATTGGTCCATTACATCAATCAATCCTTCATGACACTTAGGACAAACTTATGCATCAATCCAAAGTACCTCCAATAATTAATGATCAATCAAATGGTAGATTTGAAATAATGAAAGTTCATCAAGCATCAATCCAAACCTCATGAACAAGATAAACAACACATCATCCAATTGATCAAGAGAAAAACAAAAGGAAAAAGAAAGAGAAGGAAAGATGAAGAGAGAACCAAATTGAATCAATACTCAAGATCACTTCATCATCAATTTCAATCACCTTTCTTTGTGGATTGAGGCACTAAACATATCATCAAGACAAAGCACAAAAAATGAATCAGATGATTCATTTAGTAATAGATTTGTATTGATGGAGGTTCATCCAACCTCAAAAAAACCCAAGGTCCATTGAAATTGAGGAGAAGCTTGATCAACAAGTTATGATCCAAGGCTACAAACAACAAACCAATCAGAATACAATAAAATGCAAATACAATACATAAAATTAGTTTTAAATGAATTTTAAAATCAAAATAAAATATATAAAAAAATGAGATAGAGGTAGTTAAACAACCAAACAAAGCTAAAGAAAATTAATACAAGTCAGAAACAACTCAAGAATCATATATAAAATTTTGGAGAATTTTTTTCTTCTTATTAATTTTTCTTCTCTTTTAAGCGCGGGATCATTCACCAATTTGTATCGGTTTGTTCACTTAGCGGTAAATTAAATGGTGCTGACTGTTGAGATAAACTACTTAAGGACTCATTTGGGGGAGATATTTCAAGGCTATGGCATAACAAGTATCCAAGTCGATCTCTATAATTTGTAGACTCATGGTTTTAAGACGATACCGATCTTTTAGGAGTTTTCCCAAATCTCTGCAACCTATCATTAACTTGTCTAAAAGCCTAAGATTTCGCAATAAACATTGTTTTCTTTTTCAAAAAATTTCAGTATGCCTCGAGAAATTGGGGAAATCAATAAGTATCATAAACATACACAAAAAGGCTTGTCATGCACATGTAATGATGAAATCCTAAATGCAATAAACTGAAAATCCTAACTAGAAAGAGGTAAAGATCCTTTCCCACACTTAAACCGCATATTTTCCACAATGTTTCGATAAAAAGGTGAAAAACGATAAGTAGAACCTAGATAAGTTGCTACTGCTGGCTACCACTGCCACCTTCTCCCTAGTCTAGATGTTGCGGATGACAACTTCTACTTCGACGGCAAAAACTCTGAGATATCTCGAGCTGCTGGATACATGTTGATAGTAAGGCATTAGACGCCTGTAGCCTAGTGAGGTTCCTTA